AGAGTTAGGCTAATAACCGAGTCGATCACACCTATCGTCGAGAGCAAGGCCGTGGCGAAGCCGTGATCGAGACAAGTCGAGGGAACGCAACACCCGATCCTTCATCACTAACTGCCGGCGCACTGCTGCCGCTGTGTGCGGGCAGCGCGGCCACGGCCGGCCCTTGCCGGCCGTCCGGCAACAACTCTAGAGCAAACTGACCTGAACTGACATCAACTGACATGACAAGATCATAAACACTGAAATAACTTAAAAACATGAAATTTTCTCAATGAACTGAACTTGGCCGCGGCGGACGCACCGTGCGCCGCCGACGGCGTTAAGCCGTTTCACGACCGACTTGACTTTTCTCTCGGCAAATCATTCATGACTGTACATAAAACATGATTTACTGAACAACTGGACATGAAATACTCAAAGGATTGAACTTGACATACTCGACACACACGTACGGCCCGTGTTGCGCGCTACGTGCACGACCACGTCCCCTTGGCCGAACACCACATAAACATGAATAATCCTTCGAACACTTAAGCTTATCTGAACACGATATTATATATTATGGCTGAATACATAGGGTTTGTTCGAGAAATTGTTGAATTATACATGAACATGTCTAACACACATCACACGCACGGCCGAGACCAATTTTAAGCTATATCATGAACATGACTCATTCGAACTTCATTTAACATGTCTTTAACATGAATAACCCGAAGTTACCTTTCCAACAACTGACTGAGCGATCTGATCGGAAAAATCGGCCTTCCGTGCGGTGCTAAACTCTCGGCGTGTGGTGATGTGCGGTGTACTTGCGGTAGGCGATAGCTTGTGTACGGTGCTTTAGGAAATGGCTTAACCACTCTACTCTCTCTCTATATGCTGAATATTAAGGAGTATATATGGCTGAAATTTTGAGGAAAAATTCCCCAAACACAAGCATATAAATAGGGTGGTCGAAGAGGTGATTTGATGATGAGGTGGTGTTGGTTTAATTTGATCATGACACTTGCCTCTAATTTAAGCCTAAGCATGCTTACTCATACTTTAAAAACATTAGTCATCCTTAAGTAAATATATAGATGACACCTCATGCTTAGTTAAAATAAAACAATCTCCACTAATTTCCTCACCATTTACTTACGGCCCTTAGCACAATTTGGGAAAATTATGCACGGCTTAATGACATTATCATGTGATTAATGGTTAATTAATCACTAAATTATATTTAATTATTTAATTAAACATAATGCTTAATTACCAAAATTATTCCGAACATAAACGGAACGTCGAAAATAATTTCCGGTAATATCGACTGAAATGACTGAAAATAATTAATTTCGAAAATTAATACTCGACAATATTAATATATCGGAACTAAAAACATGATTTATACTAATAAACTGACGGGATATTACAAAGTGACTAATATATCCCTCACTTTTGATTCTTTCCTTCAATTAGCTATTGAATTGTAAATATATTTTAAAAGTTGATAACTTTTGTATTTCTTATCGGTTTTACATATATAATATATCAAATTAATCATATTTTGATGATCTTCGATTTGACATCCATATTGTATGTATGAAATAAATAAATCATATTTATCTTTATAATAATAAAAAAATAATAATATTTATTAAAATTCATTAGAAAAATAAAATTATTTCTCAATTGATATATTTATGTTTAATGTAGTTATATGTTGTAAGTCAAAAAAAATATTATAATATAACACAGGTAAGTAGCACAGATAAAAAAGTTTCATAGTAAATATAATATATATATATATATATATATTTATAAAAGGTATTGAAATTTTCAATTATTTTTTCTCATTAATTTTAGATTTTAAGAAAAAATTAGCAAACACCCGTGTAATACACGGGCGTTGTACTAGTTTTAAATAAACAAGAATATAAAAGAATAGATGTCCATGTAAGTAATTTTACATGTTAACAGCTGATTAAAAATAGTTAATTTACCAAACATTCTTTTAGAAACCGCTAAAACAATAAGCTGGTCAAAACAACTAACACCATCCGCTAGTCAAAACAGCTAATGCAATTCGCTAACAGCTAACAGCTAACCGTTGATTGCCAAACAAGGCCGAAAGCTCGAAGGGGATGAAGTAGGCGTGAGATTGGGTCAATAAAGTGGCTGAAAATTTTTAACTTTTGGGCCGAGACTCTCTTGCAATTTGGATCGAAAATAATAGCTATCAGGCCGATGATAATTGGACATGATAAATTGCTTAAGACAGTTCCAAATAAAATTAAATGGGCTAAATCAATCTGAAAGGGTCTTGCACAACATTGGGTCAAAAATAATAGTATTCGATGTTCGGGTCGAAACGGCTCAAAAAGGGATTAAAACGGAAAATGTTCGGTTTACGCAATTAAACTGAAAATTGCCAAAATAAATAAATTCTAAACCAATGCAATCCTAATAATTCTAACACATAAATAAAAAATCACATAACAAATGCATACATAAAGTCACATAGCAATTTCAATAATAAGGAGATAATTAAGACGGATAGAAACGAACAGTTAATATAAATAAACGAGAAATTAAATAAAGTAAAAGCAAATAATCAATTATAGACAAATAAATAATTATATAAAATCCGGAAAATTCTAATAATTGAACGGGGCGTTACACCTTTTTCCGTGCTTCTTAGCATTCTAAGCTAGCCCAAGGAAGAGCTCTTAAAACAAGGTTCCATAGCTCAATCTATGCCAAATTTCTGGTGTTTTCCTCCTTGTATTTTGATTTCTTGTTGTATTTGTTTAAAACACTTTTGAGTGATCCTCTCATTCTTCCGGGTGGAAGTGGCCTGTGTTTCCTAAACTTTGTATATTTGTTTCGAGTTATAATA